GTGGGGGGGGGGGGGGGGGGGGGTCAGCCCTCACTGGAAGGTGGGGCAGGTGTATTGGAACCTCCCTGAGGTTTGGGGAGGGGGGCTCCAATTCACTGAACCCATCCTCTAGCACTAGCTGGGGAACCCTTAGAATTGGAGCCCCCCCTTACCCTCCAGCAGGGGCTGAAAAAACCCCCAGACTGAACTCCCTCCACTCCTTCCCCCTTCCAATTCTAAGAACAGCTCAAGGCTGGCAGGCAGAAGTTACAAAAATGCTCTGTTTTGAAACAGTCATCTGAGCTTCCATGCAATGAGGGGTCAGATTTTTACTTGATCAGCCATTTTTTTAAGCTGTCTGAAGTTTGGTGACAACTATAAACAGCTTTCTGTGACCACATTGATCAAAATTATCACTTCTATTTGTGCTCACTGGTACAGCAGGGACTTGCACTTCTGCCTGCACCCCAAGTGTCTAAACAAACCTATACCTTTCTCTTTATTACTCTAATAAAAGAGTAAAGAGCAAAGCCAACCACACCTTGTCATGTATCCAAAGATGCATCTCAAGCCAGTCCAGAGAGGCAATACTCCCCCTCTACACAACATTAGTCCAGCCTCAATTGGAATACTGCATCCAGTTCTGGGCACTGCACTTTAAGAAGGCTTGCCTTGAGAGGGTTCAGAGGTGGGCCACCTGCTTTGTTGGAGGGCAACAGGGCAGGCCCTATGAGGAGAGGCCGAGGGACCTGAACCTGTTCAGCCTCAAATGGAGGCTGAGGGGGGACTTGGTGACTGCCTACAAACTCATTAGGGGAGATCAGCAGCAAAATAGGAAGGGTCCTATTCCCCCCAGCAGCACCTGGGGTGATGAGGAGCAATGGCCAGAAGCTGCTGGAAAATAGGCTCAGGTTAGAGATTAGGAGGCACTATTTCACTGTTAGGGTGGCTAGGATCTGGAACCAACTTCCTAGGGAAGTGGTCCTCGCTCCTACCTTGGGCAAATTCAAAAAGAGGTTGGATGAACACCTGCCTGGGGTCATGTGATCCCAGCGTGTGCTCTGGCCAGTGGCGAGGGGGCAGACTAGATGATCTATTTAGGTCCCTTCTGACCCCTAACTACTATGAAACTATGCAACTCTATAAAAGGACATATCCAATAGCAAGATAAAATGTTAAGCAATAATGGTAAAGCAAACTGTCATTGATATGAAGTACAGAGCAGCTCTCCCATACAGAAAAAACAATGATCAGCTGTGCTTACTCTTGATTTTACACCTATACAACAGGGAACCTGTGGCTCCTGTTACCGTGACTGAGAAAATGGAGGCAAACTGAGTTCAGGCAATCAAAATGAGGGCTAGCAATAGAGTTATAGGCAGCCAGAGCTTTTTAAATGAGAAGTGCCCAACATGGTGCTAGTAGCACAATAAGAGTACAACAGGGGAGTAGGGAAGCAGCAAGAGAACTGCAGTGCTAGCTCTGCAACTACAGGTCATCCTGCAGGCTGGTAAGCCAAACACGTTAGCACATGCAAGGGTTCCACATCCCAGAGAAGCAGAGCTTGGGGGGGGGCAGGCAGAGCCCAGAGAGAGGGAGAGGGAGAGACAAGGGCTAGAACCTGAGGAGCCAGACATGGTGTAGTGAATCTAGGCCAGAGAGAGCAGCCAGAGCAGTAGGGGTGGAAGCTGGGAAAGCCAAGGCCACAGCAAGACAATAGAGACCTAAAGTGGCCTGGTGGTATGGGGCAAGGTGCTTACTTGCATGATGACTAGACACAGCTTAGAGTCATGAGCACAACTATAAAGGAGGTACAGGGGCTTTGATCAGCCCTTCAGGTGATGAGCAGCGACACCACCACTAATCAGAAATCTTGCTTGGAGAATGTAACAGACAGGGTGTGCTCCGTTACTCACAGGGGTGTGAGCAGCAGCAAGGCATCCTGCAGCTGGTTGCAACCCCATTTAGGCACAATTGCCTGGCTGGGAACAGGGCCCTAAGCAGCAAGGCCAGCAGTCTGCTACTAGCAGCTAGGAGAACACCACCTGGCTGGAGCTGCTGCTTGTGACATCTTGGAGGTAAACTATGGGGATAGCTGGAGGCTTCTGGTCCTTGAGCATGACACAAAATTACATCCTGCTGGGGCTGGTTAGTGTGGTGGGACTGCCAATGGCAGGGCAGTCTCCAGGAAATGCCACACCTGGGCCTCCCCAGTGAAGGACAAGTATGGGACACCAGAAAGCCTCAGCCCCTGCTGCCCTGCAGGTGACCCCATGGAAGTACACCTTGAAGAACAAAGCAAAGCAAGGGTCCATGCTCACTGTAAGCCCTGAGGCAGTGTCCTGGCCAGGGGAAGGGGCCAGAGACAGCCCAGGCTCACAGTGAGCACTGAGGCATATTAAGGGACCCAAGAGTGAGGATCCAGAGGGGTGGGGCCCTGAGCCTACAGGGAGCTGTGTGTGAAGCTCCTAAGGTGAGGGGATAAAGGGATTGCAGCCCACTGTGGGGCCCAGGATGGTCCGCAGCCAGGCTTAGAGGCTAAGCAAAAGGTAGGGGCTTGGAGCCCTGAATTGGTAGAGGCTGGGAACCTCAAGTGGAACCAGGCTGGGAGGCTGAGGAACAGTAGAGGGCTGGGAGCCCAAGTAATTGAGTGGCCAGGTGTTAGGTCAGACAAGCAGGCCAGGCGTTAGGCTATGGATGCCATCTGCAAGACATGGGACACAATATAGGGAAGGTTGGAGCCATGTATACAAGTCCTTGGTATTAGGGTAAGTAAATGGGTAGTTTCCTGCCATATTGACATCTTCTAATTGATGCTAACTAAGGCATGGTGGGTGAAGTAGGTGGGCAGTTTGCCCAGAGACAAGTGGAAGGGCCAACAATTTGACAGGCCCTGGGACACCCACTTATTACAGGGAGCCCTTATAGATTCATAGATATTGAGGTCTCTTCTGACCCTAACAGATCATCAAGTCTGACCCCCTGCATAGGCAGGGAAGAGTGCTGGGTTCAGATGACCCCAGCCAGATGCCCATCTAACCTCCTCTTGAAGACCCCCAGGGTAGGGGAGAGCACCACCTCCCTTGGGAGCCCATTCCAGATTTTGGCCACTAACTGTGAAGAAGTTCCTAATGTCCTTGTGCAGCCTCCCTTTTCTAAAGGCATAGTAACATCAAGGCATGATAAGGGAGCTGACGGGGAGATTGCCCAAAGGAAGCAGAGAGGACAAGGGCTGAGAGGATGTTCCTGGGGCCACAGCCATCCCTGACATGTGCATCTTGTTACACTATCAAAATAACTGCAAGCAGTCTACAAATTAAACTACAGCAATGGAAATTGCAGCATGCTCAACGTTTATATACGGATAAGTAACTCTCTAATCCCAAGTGAAAAGCTACAATTAATTACACAACATTATGAATAGCAGTTTGGTTTTTTGTTTGTTTGGTATTTTAGTTTTAGAGATAGAAAATGGAGCTGAGTAATGAAGATACCTGTGCATTTCTTCTTTGTCCTATATCTCTACTATATTAATGGATTAAAAAAAAATAAAATACCTTAGCACACAGTTATATATTGCTGGCATAGAAATTAAATAGTTGGTCTAACCAAATGTGAATTTTACTTGTCCACATTTTACAGCTTGCATGCTGTTTGAGTAGATCCTTCAACTGTATTATAGCAGGTATGAAGTTGCACATATTGATTCATACAATATTGAACAAAAAGAAGGGCAGTTTTTACAGCCAAGTTTTTTTTCTCCAATGTACCAGAAGTCACTTAAAGTAAATGGCAAATTACTATAGGCTATTCTAGAACACATGAAGGTGATTTATAATTATCTTTTAACCTTTCAAATTTCTTCAGCATATCCAGAGCTCTTTCAGTGTTTGTAATCTTTTCAAAAGTGATATCCATGAAAGCCTTCAAGTGATTCTGGAGAAGGAAAAAAAAGTTCTATTGAGGATACCACTGTAGAGCATCCCCATCAGATTCACACAGATTTATTAGACAATTGTAGAGCTTTTAAATATTTTAAAGGACCTATAGTTGAACAGTTTTCAAATGTTGTATTAAGAGAAGCAATCTACTTCTGCACTTCCCATTGCAGCTGAAGAACTCAAAGAAGCCTTTCATCTCCAAAATCGTTCACCCGTGTTATTAACTCTTGGTCTGAACGAATACATTTCATTTCATCTCCATGGCAGGAAATGAATCTATTTTTGATCTGATGTAGCTACCCACAATTCTTCATGGCTCCAAAAAGGAAAGGCTTAGCATGCATTTTGTTTGGTTAATTCCAACCCCACCAAAAGCCTTAGTATTAGTTGAAACAAACGCTCTTCCAGAGCAAATGAGAAAACGATCATTTAGAGTCTTGCACTAGAGTAGTATCTACTTTTCCCTGCAGTGGAACAATATACATCTGTTGGTCTGCATACCCCAGGCTGACTTTAATTAGAGGGAGTTAAGCACTGTATCTGTCCCTAACAAAGCAGTTACAATGCTGTCATCATTCCCAAAGGATGTATTTTTTTTTTAAATCAGGACAAGTGACTTTAGTGGATTGAGCACTTCCTAAATTTGTTTCATTGGAGCGATAGTATATAAATCATTTACTTCAAAATATCTGTTGTCTTCCATAATCAATCATGTCCAATACAAATACCTCTCATTTTAGGGAATTCCTCAAGGATTGGCAGTACTCAACTTAAATGGCATGGCACTTAATCACAAAACCTACATGAAGGTCACTGGTCTGTTTGCAGAATTCTTCATAGTCCTCATCAAAATCAGTCTCACGTTGGTCTAAAAAGTTATATGGTTTTCTCTTTATGGTGTCAACAATGCTCTAAATATTTGAGAGGGGAAACAAAAATATCAGAATCAAGTTGCATTAACCAAGCTACCAGCCATGTTTGTCTGCCTGGGATATAGAAATTTTCCAAAGTACAAATGTTAAGCAAACCACCTAATCAAGTTTTGGAAAGGACAGCAAAACAGGAGCCACTCACATTAAATCACTTGCTTCAGGTTATCAGGTTTAAGTTGGAAATTGACAGAAGATACAGAAATACCAACTTAAAAAAAATATTCATTACCTGGCACATTTTCTCAGACAAGTGTGCAACACTACAGTATGAAACATTTTGATACAAAGAGGAAACATGTCAGCAAAAAAGAAACTTAAAGTTCACAGTAATTTTTTTTTTTTTTTTTTTAAACACCCCACACCAGCGGTGTCTAGCACTACCCCCTCTCACTATGCCAGGATTTGGGCCCTGAGCAACTGGCACCACCCCTACCCCCAGGCTTGGGTCCCAGAACTGCCTCTCCCCCATCCCTGTATGCTAGGATCAGGTCCTGGGAGCCTGATGCCATCCCCTCCTAGCCCCCAAAACCAGGATTGGGTCCCCAAGGTGTGGCACTGCTCCCTTAGTCCCGTCAGACCAGAATTGGGCCCTGGGGCCCAGTATCACCTCCACCCTGACCAGGGCCTGGCACTGCTCCCATCTAGCCTTGTATACTGGGGTCAGGCAGCCGATTCAGCATACAGGACCCAGGACTCCCTATGGGTCCAGAAGTTTGATGGTGGAGAAGCAAAGTCACCACTTTCCTGATGTCATATTTCTAGATGTGTGGGGAGCCCTGCAGGCAAACTAACACAGGATCTGGGCTGGACTGGGTCTGACCTGTGGGCCAGGGGCTGAGCACCCCTTATCTAACTTATTATCCAGTTCAGCCTGCTACCCCTTGACCAAGAGGTGGCACCAGCTGCCTTTGACTGCATTAAATGTTAAGCAATGTTAAAATTAGAATGGGCTGTAAGCAGTTGCACACTGAAGATTAAATATTGTTTCTTGCCTGCACAGCTCTGACTTGCCACAAGAGGGCTAGTAAGAAAAGGCACTGCTAGGAGCCAGTACACCTAGGCTGTCCCTGCTTGGGGAAAGGGGTGGGGGGCGGGAGGAGGAGGGAGCTGGGAAGGGTGCATCCTGAGAGTACTGCAGATTGCTCATTTTATGTCCATGGAGCAGACTGAAGTTACCCTAAGGTATGCTAGGTAGCATGGCCCAGGAGTTGACCCTTGCCTGAAGTGGTATTAAAAAAAAAAAAAAAAAACACAACAACTTTGAGACCTTCAAGAGTGCACTTAGCATAAAAGTTAACAAGCTTTAAAATGTGTGAATGTTCACATTTTAAAAGTGTCTTTGGCATGGTGCAAGTGTAATGTGCAATTCCATCCTCAGACTGGCATATAAAACATGAAAGTGTCTTGACTGGTCAAGTAAAAGAATTTTAGTTCTCAGTGCTAGAGATTCCTTTGTAAGAGAATCCAAGGGTGGTGACATGCTATATGCTTACTACTTAGTAAGCTGACTTAAGTACATAGTAAATGTTCAGCCAACATACAACTTTACAATATGGCACATTACTCAAATCCAGGATAAAGTTACCTCTTGAAAAAATTAGACAGTCAACTTATTATGCAAGAAACCAGTACATCTTTCATACCCAATCCTAGAGCAGCTGTTTGCTGTACGGGACTAAAGGCATTAAAACTCATACAACCCATTTTAAAATACATCAATATTCCGTTTTCTTTTTATCTACATTTTTTCTTCTACTTATAGATGTGAAAGTCTGAGATTTGTTTGATATGTACCTCATACTTTGTGGCCATAACTTCCAGTCCTTCTATCTTTGAGTTCCGTAGAACTGAGTAGGTTGTAATGGTAATGAATATATTTGTGATCTTCATGAGACGTCGATGAAAGGTTTCAAATTTTCCGAAAATGTACATCTCACTAAAATCAAATAGTCTTTCAGATGGAGTTTGTTCCAGGTTTTCTTTTGTCTTGTGAAAGCAATGTTGATATTCCTTAAAGCAAATGAAATGGAAGTGACAGATATCTGAACCATCTAGAACAGGGGTGTCAAACTCATCTGGTCCATGAGACTCCTCATGGGCTGAATCTGGACTACAAGGAGCCTTGCAGGTCAGCTCTGAACCCACTTTCAGCAGCAGGACAAGCAGACGTTACTAGCTCCCCTCTCTCTGCCACCAAGAAACATTCCAAACAAAAGCTCTGTATCCCAGATGTCAGCATATGGCCCTGTCCCCATTTGTTCCACCATAAGCTTCATCTTTGACACCCCAATGAAGAACATAAATTATCCAACCATGCAAATACAATTGTCTCAAGAAACAGACATTAGTTTAATTATGGGCACTTCAGGCAGATATAGGTACATTACTTGTCTAAAAAAAAAAAGTTGAAAATATATTTCAGCATTCCTTGCAACTTAGTATTCCCGTTATGTTTACTCATACCTATAATTTTAGCTACAACTAAACAGTCTTATTTCGGTCAGTGGAATCATACAAACTGATTTTATTTAGGAGCAGAAAAATAATTGGAGGTGTAAGAGAAAGAACCCATTTCAACTAGTCAGCTAGGATAAGACTGAAAAAAAAAAAAAAAAAAAAAAAACCAATTGTCCAATTCTAAAGGCAGAAATAATTGAGCTAAAAAGGTCCTAACAGCCAAAGGCAACCACAGAATGCTGGCCCCTTGGGGTACAGAAACTGGTATGAAATGATTGGATACCAAATAATTCTGATTAGCAGTACCAATTCTTAAGAACTAGGTTAAATGAATACCCCTTTGAGAGTTATACTCTAATTCTTGCTGCTCAAATCTTAAGTCTGACTTGTGTGGACAGCACAAACTAAATTGCATTTATAAAAGTATCATCTGTCAAAATTCCTTGGGTGAATTTGATATCTTTTATTAGACCAACCCAAATGGTTGGAGAATAGTTATTAAGCAAGCTTTCGGGTTCAAAAACCCTTCGTCAGGCTAAGGAAGTTTCAGCAGTTGGTGTGTGCTCTTCCTGGATGGAATGAAAAGTAAAGAAGCCAGGGGCTGGGCTGGGGAGTCAGTTGCCAGGCAGATTATAATGTATCAAAAATCCAATGTCCATGATCTCTAGTATCCAGCAGGTTGATGAAATGGAGCTCATAGGCTCGTCTTTGGGAAGTGTTGTGCAAGTTTCCCTTGAGGATCAGGACAGAGATTGGAGAGAGAGTGGCCCTCCTGTGAGAAATGTGCCCCCACCCATAATTGTGCTGATGGCTCTGTTGTGGGGTGTAGTAATAGTGGGGGTGGTGGAGATGTGTTGGCAGGTTTTGTATTTCTTGTCCTGGAACGGTCTGGATCCTTTTGGTGTGTTCTGGGCTTGAGGAAGTTTGCTCTTGGTGATGAGGTTGGCGAGGTTCGGTGCTTGTCTGAAGGCTAGGATGGGTGGCTCTGGGAAGATCTTTTTAAGAATAGGGTCTCTTTCTAATATGGGTTGCAATTTTTTGAGGATTTTCCGTACAGGTTCAAGGGAGGGGTGATACGTCATAACCAGCAGTGTGCGATTTGTGGGTGTTTTTCTTCTGTACTGCAGCAGTTCTTTGCGTGGTATCCAGGTGGCTCTTTCAAACGTGTGATCTACCTCTCTGGAGGAGTGTCCTTGCTGGGTGAAAGCCTTTTTAAGATTGGTGAGGTGGCAATCCTGGGTGTTCTCTTCAGTACAAATGCGGTGGTATCTGAGGGCTTGGCTGTATATCACAGCTTTTTTGGTGTGTCATCTGTCAAAACAGTCCCATTGCTTACATTTTTTGATTACACTAGTGTCTAGTTAAAACCACAGAGTCCCATTTATTTTCAGCACAGTGTCCAATTCTTTTACATACCTATTTGAACTTCTCTTGTCATGGTGAAGATTATCAAGGAGTTTAGCTGTTTAACATTTAAATGTTTTAAACCATTTTTGAAGTATTGAAAAGCCAAGCTCCTCCTAAAAGAGATTAATCCTTTTTCTGACCTCATTGTCTTTAGTTCAGCAGTAGTACTTAAATCACCACTTCTAAAAAAAAAAAACTTTAGCATTGGCTGGAACAATCTGACTTTAAAGCCTACTACTTTGCAGTACGCAATATTTATTCTTTCAGCCATGTAGAGACATAGGTTTAGATGAACACTTGTTCTGAAACTCAATATTTCCACTATAAACCTCATATCTCCAAGTCTTTCAGACGCTGAACTCATTTAGTTTTAAAAAAAAACTTTTAATTTTTGGAAGAGCCCAAATCTTCTCAGGTCCTTCCTTAACAGGACATAGAGTATATATGCACCAAGTAAAATTTTTTATAGTATCATTTTATTTAAAAAAAAAAAAAAAAAATCTACGTCCTTCTTGTTCACAACATGCCCCTTTTTCATTTTAACCCATATACGGTTCTCTAGTTAGCCAATAATTGGGCAGTGGCTCTAAACAAACATTATTCAGCAAGAATTTTCAACTCCTATAGCACTAGAAGTGTACATGTTAGGCACTTAAAGCCGATTTAAGATAGTGAGTCCCATCTTTCTAAAATAAGCCAATTAGATTACTCTTGCATATTACTACTTTGATAACTCACGACAAGCGTTAGGAGTTTTCCTCGTTTAATCTTCGTCATTCCATCCTCTTTTTGATCTGCCAAGTAAACATACTTTATCCTAGATGTCTTCAAATAAAAGCTTTTATATTTTTCGCCAATTACTTTACTGTAGTGTAACTTGGATTCAGCTTTCCATTTAAAAAAAAAAAAAAAACCCACACACACACACACCTTGTTGCACATCTGAATCACACAACACACTGAAGTTACCTGCTTAAGTCGAATAGTTGCTTGAATCTTTTCGACAACTATATCTTGAGGTTGATCCCAGATGGTGACACTATTGTCATTTGTCATGTATGATTTACATGCTGTTATCATCTGATTTGTTACCTAAGAAGAAAGTTATTTCTAGGTTTATAAATAAGCAAGACTGAAAATGCAATCTTTTGTTTTCCATTCACTCAATAGTGGCCAAAAACATGCAAAAAAGGCAACACTTCCAGTCAGGCAAGAAGAAAAGCAGCTTCTCTTCTTGTATCAAACATTGCTGTCATTTCTCAGGAGATGTGGTGCTGGCTAAATCACTAACAAATCAAATCAAATGAAGCCAATTGTCTAGATCCTGAAATGCCCAATGAAGGTTCCAAGTTGCAAGAAAGACTCCATACATTCGAGTCCAAAGCACTAAGTCATGCATTACTGTACTTGTCAAATAATTTATTTTTTCAAATAAGTTCATGGGGGTTTTTTAGTAATAACTGAGTGACAGAAAAAAATATTAAGTTTGCAAATCTGTCAGTATGTTGAAAGCCAAATATACCACTGGTATAAGCAGTTAAATCACCATGAAAGTCAATCTAGTCCAACCCAATTCTACTTGGGATGAGTTCCAACAGACTTTCCAGTTTTCCTCAAAAGAGCTCAGTTTTTGTTCCAACTTAATGTCATGTATATTAGTATCATAGGGGGTGGGAAGAGAGAGACTTAACATCTCAATGTATCCCATATTTGTAGGAAAACTCCTCCCCCAAAAAAAACAAAACATTTCCATGGATGGAGGGCTACTTAACTTTTATTCAAGTAGAAAGAAGAAATCGTATACATATGGTAATAGCAGGAGCCTATCACACACACCTACCTTCACAAACAAAGAGGTTATCTTCTCAGAGGTATTGTAGTAGAGTGAGATGTTATGAATCATTTTTATTGCATTTATGAGTCCTGGAATAGCCTCTACCATGGATTCCTAAGGAAGAAACCACACAAGTCAGAGATTGGTTCACGACTGCCTTTTATCCATCAGAAGGATGAGAAAGGGTTTTAAGAAAAAAAAAGTGTATAAAGGATGAAAGGCAGGAAACACCACTAAGGAGGAGTATGCCCTACTGGTCCACACCTGGAGGGAGCAAACTAGAAAAGCCAAGGCTGCAACTGAACTCCAGCTGGCTACACAAATAAAGAGTCCTTCTTCAGATATGGGGAGTCAAAAGAAAAACAAAGGCAACATTGGACACCTGATAAACCAGCTGGGGCAGCTGACTACCGACACCCAGGAAAAAGCCAATCTGCTTAATAATTACTTTGCGTTGTTTTTTCACCAGCCCAAAGAGACTACCCTGCCTAACAAGATGTAGGATGACAAGGGTGAGGATGAATATATGCAACCATTGGCATTTATTCCTTTCAGGAATATAACCTTGAGGGAGCACCTTGAGAGGTTGAGCCCCCTTAAAAAAAACAAAACAAAACAAAAACAAACAACTAGCTGGTCTGGATAGGTTGCATCCAAGAGTGCTAAAGGAACTGGCAGACATCATAGCGCAGCCACTGGTGAGAATATTCGAGAACTCATGGTGCTCAGGGGAAGTACCT